TTTTTTTTTTTTTTTTTGCACTCGCGAAAGTTCTCGCGCGCACGCCACCGACGATCGTAAATATCGTTTATTAAACGACGGCGGCGCGTTAAAATTTCAGCGTCCTTTACAACGCCCGTGTAACGCGTGGAAATTATGTAACGAGGGATCAATTTTCTGGCTTTTACACGTCACGTATATTTTTCCCGCCCTCCCGTGGCGTCAAAACCTCACGCCACGCGACCGATTTCGAAACAAAAAACGAAGCTTTCCAGAGATTAATTAATCATCTACAGAGTGGTCGATTTGAAAGTTCGTTCGATTAAAAAGAGAAAAGGTAAAAAAAATAGTAAAAATTAATCTCCAACACTTGATTTATCGATAAATTTTAGTATTCTTCCGGATACTACTGATGAAATTGGTTTTTTTTCTAATAGATAGACGTATATGTATATATTTTAAAATGCAGCTAATTTCATTTTAAAATTTCATTTTAAACCGCCGATTTATCGTGCAATCCGATATCTGGGTGTTCAAACTTGCTTTCGAGAAAAAAATGATGCACGATCTCGTTGTTCGACGTCCATTTCAAAATGGAAGGAACAGTTTACTTTCGAAAATGAAAAAAACGCTGTGCAAGTTCATAGAGAGAAATTATCATCTGACGTGGAGAAGACACTGAAGAAGCCTTCGAAACCACGACAGCGCCGGAATTGATTTGCTAAATTTCACTACTGGTGAGAACTCGTCGAAAAGAAAATTATAAAGTTTGTTGCTTCTCGCGAAAAATTCGTCGTTCACTTGCACACAAATGGGAGAAACGCAGTTGCTTTTCGGCCAACCTGACATAACGAAAATAAATCAAATGTTAGCGATTGGCTTTCAATGTAAATTCGATAAAAAAATTTTACTTCAAACACACCACTAAACGCAGTCCACTCCACGGTTCCGAAACTGACGAAGCAAATTAATAAGAATCTCAAGACGATCGTCGTCGGGTGAATCATCGTCAATCAGAGGATCAGAGCGTCGATGGTAACCCACGCGCGAACTGGGCCTTAAATAACGCAACAGTCAGGCTCGGTGTGCGCGTGTTCACGAGTTCACTCTGCCGCGGGGAAAAAGGTGTTAAAACGTCGCGAGGAGGAATGAGGGTCGGTGAATCGTTAACAGTTCGACGCGCCCACCGCGCGCGTTACGTCACTTCCTCCGGCTGGCAGCTTTAAAGCAGACAGAAGACCGTCTCAGACAGGGATTAGGCGTTCGCAGGGTTTCTATAAATAATGCAACGTTTAACCTCGCTTCGGGGATCGGTTTTGTACCCCGCCTACCCCGTCCCGTTGTACCCAGGCAACGGCGTTTTAAAGTCGCCATGCAAATGATCGAACAAGGGGCTCGCGGCTCGCGGATTACCCAACGTCAAGTCAGCCTTTTTCGCGTGAATTTAGATGCACTTGTGTACGGCATTTACGCTCGGTTTCTGCTCGAGATTAGTCAAGTCTTTCGTTTGGATCAAGCGTGTATACGAATGACGGACGAAAGATTGTCTGTATTTTAAACTGTCACAACTTTGTTTAGCTGTTTGACTTTGCTTGCTTGATTATAATTATAATTTTATATTTAAGTTTATATTATAATATTTTATAATTATTATAATTATATATATATTATAATATTTTATAATTATTATAATTATATATATTATAATATTTTATTATTATATTATTTATATATTTATTATTATATAATTTATATATTTATATATTTACTATTATATAATTTATATATTTATATATTTACTAATATTTCGTAATTATATAATATTTTATCATAGCACTTTATAATTATTATAATTATGTGTATAAATATAATAATTATTATATTTTATATTTTTTATTATATTTTATTATTATATAATTTATTATACATTTACTATTATATAATAATGTATATAAATGTATATAATATATATATGTAAATGCATAATATTTCATCACTTAATTATATAATATTTTGTCATAGTATTTCATAATTATTATAATTATAAAATATTATAATATAAAATTGTAATAAAGTTAGATTTTATAGTGCCTCTGATTTGACAATCTTACGTTGGCCATTTTTCAAAGATGTTTGTAGCAAGTTTATAAACAAGGACACACTTTTTTCCAAATCACTGAAAAAAATTTTAAATCTCCCGTTCACAACGATTTCTTTTCGTCATTTTATCGAACAATAGGGTGGAGTGACGAAATGTTGGGATTTCTTGAATTTTTCTGGACATAACTCAAGATACAAAGACTTGTTTATCGAATATTATAGCTTTCGATACTTTCAGTCAAATGTAATTTATTTAATAAATTACAATAAAAAGACTGTGGATAGACTTTATTTTTCAAACGAAATATTCGTGTGAACTGCCTAACCTAACCTAACCTAACCTACATGCTGTTTATGAATTTAATGTCCTGCGTCTTTTCTCGCAAACGATAGATGCTACAGAAAAATGAAAAAGAACAAAATTATACTGCATTTTGCACATAATGTAATGATATATAAAAACTTTTACTATTCATATTATTATTAATCTAACTTCTATGTATACAAGGTGTTCACGAATTTAGTGTCCAGCGTTTTCTCTCGCAAACGACAGATGCTACAAGAAAAATGAAACAGGACAAAATCGTACTGCTTTTTGTTGCACAATGTAATGAAATTCTTTTTAATCATATTATTGTTAACCTAACCTACGTGTACACGATGTTCATGAATTTAGCGTCCAACGTTTTCTCTCGATAAACGATAGATGCTACAGAGAAATGAAATAAGATAACATTTTCTGAAATTTTTTCGTATTATCTTCACAACAATAAATCACTGGCTACGACACAAACATGTCGAGAGCGAATACGTGGCCACGGTAATAAAGATAATCATCTGAACATGCGCCGCGAGTGTATCTATTCGACTATGTTGAACGGAGAAGGAGGAAGTTGATCCAGCAGGATCTTCGACGAGGCAAATGCCCATGTCGCAACAACGTCTGCCAGCATCTCTGTCAGCTCTTCCCCCTCGACGAACCCCTTGTAGAAAGGGGTTGCAAGGGAATCGGGCGTGCATCAATATTAATGGAGGCACGCGGCGTTCGGGAGTAATGTAGCTAGCTGAAAGTCGGCGACCCGTGGCACGCGCGATATCGTAACCATAATGCTCCCGCTTAGATCGGTTACGACACGTAATTTCAATCACGATCGTCGCGTTACCGCCGCCGTTACACGGCCGTGCAAGCCGCGTGAAGCGTCTCATCGAGAAAACGATTCCGCCGAGCGGAATCACCTCGATCCCACTTGCCAGACTTGTGTCGAGTTTTTACGCGAACGCAGGCAGACACATTTGTGCATTCACTGAGATTCTTTGCACTCCTGATTACGTTAGAATACGTACCTGCCCTTGAGAATATTGAATTTTATGAAAATAGAAGCGTAGTTTTTATGTGCCTATTTTAGGCATCGATGGCCGGTGTTAATTATGCGAAGCGTGTAGAAAACAGTCGCGTGGAATAACTCGATCGTTGGTTAAAATAAAAGCAAGAAGTGAAGGACAGGTCTTACTTTTATCATATCGGCAATTCGATTTTATTTCAACAGAATGATAAGTTTACAAGTTACAAGCGACGTGTACGCGAGTGCTTTTGATCAAATTAATATCGATGTTTACTGAAATAGAAACGTAATTATACGCAGCAATAATTTAGTTTTGCTGCGTTATAACTGTCATTATATGATCGCATAAATTGCACGTGTATGTATGGAAAATGATGGATTGGAATAATCGGACTGTTATTTAAAGCAGAAACGAACGCGAGAAGGAAATGTTATTATCGAAATCGCATATTTGGGATTACCATAATTATTAAACCTGTACAAAGTTTTATTAATTCCAATTGAATTAATTTCAATTAAATACAAAAAGAAAAAAAAACGTTCGGAAATCTTCTTAATCGCGCGACATGTTTCTCAAATGTCTGAGAATTCGCCAAACGAAAATGTCTCGGCGAAAAAGACTATATATACAAGACAAGAAGCAGGTGGAAGACGGGCTTGAATGTTTAGAATTTCGATTGGCCCTATCGAACGGGGGGGTTGGCCCCGAATCGGATTAGCTTGTCAGAAACGAGAGGAGAGAATTCAAATTTAATCACGGCCACGACGTTCGATGTTCTGCGACGCACGGGAAGTGGCATTATTAGCTTTCGAATCGAACCAATCGAGCCGCTTCCTTATTAAGCCCTGCGGCATCCCCTCGCTTTTCCATCATACGAACCCATGAAATCTCCCCCCCCCCCCTCCGATCTTCGTCTCCCTCCTTTTTTTCCTTTTCCTTTCTTTTCCCTTTAATTCCACATCTACATTTCCGACGGAAAATCATCC